GTTCTGTCCAAACCCAACCGTTCCGTCCCCCCTCCCAAGGGTTCCTTGGGGGGGTTCTCAATCTCAGTTTTGCCAGTGCTCATGAGAACAGCCTCCTCTGTAGTAGGCTTGACTCGTGGTTTCCCATCCCCTCTCCCTCCTCTTGAGGGTCGCGTGGATCGCGTGGATCCCTGAACGCTGAGCGGGAGAGACGGGGGGCACGGGAACAGAGGAAAGAGGGCTTAGGTGGATGAGGGGTGACTGTAGCTGCGTTGGCTCAAACTTCACCGCGTCGACCGTCGCCAACTTGCAACCACCGCCAGGCTCTCAACTTCGAAAGCTAGCATGTCCACGCTTCCGAGTGGTCAGATGCCGCTGTGCCTATTCGGCATACGGGCCAAGTCAGAGGGCGACGCTGGAGATGGCCAGTCGGGGAGTGCCGCTCCACGGATGATGGCAGAGGCCGCGGTGCCGCCTGGGCCGTCAGAGGAACCCCCCGCCGTGCCGATCGAACCGAAGGAGGAGGTTGCCACGGCTAATCGCTCAAAGCCACCGCCTTCAGCAAGCGGCTCCGGCGGTGCGTGTGGCGGGGCCCCAACCGCCATCGGCAAGTCTTTACATGGCAAGGTCAACGATCGCCTGCGCAGCGCCCCTCCTGAGCTCGAGACAGTATGTATTCCATGCTAAAGAAGGGCGACCCGTCGGAGACGCTGGAGTGGGCAAGTGAGCTCATAGATCAGAAGGGCAAGTACTCGCCAGACTATCTCTCTCGCAATCGCACCTTTCAGGAGGCGCATGCCTGTCGCGAGACGGCTCAGTGGAAACCGTGGCAGGAGATGGCAAACCAGTTCGGAGAGGACGTGCTGCTGGAGATGATCTCGGCGAACACAGCGCAGGTGAGGCCGAGCGAAAAGCTACCTCCAAACACCAAGATCCCCTGGCCAAGACTTTGGAGGTGCTGCTGGTGGAGGAGACAAAGGAGAAGGTTCGCAAGACGACGGACACGAGGAAGCTCCATGAGCGCCAGGACATCACCTCAGAGGCGCACGAGGACTCCGCGAAGGAGCTCGCCATGGAGAAGGCGAAGTGCAAGATGGGCAAGGCTCCTCGCGAGAGGTTTGCTGATGGTGCATCCGATGCAGCAGCTACAGTGCAGATGGGCATGGATCCCAAGAGCAAGGCGGTTGTCCAGAGCATTCGCAGGGCCCACGCTGCTTGCGATAAAGCAATTCGCGAGTGGGGTGCGACGGTCACTAAGAGCTCGTCGCACAAAAGCACCAAGGGCTGCAAGTTCGAGAAAGACCTTCTCGCGCTCCAGAACACGGCCAAGGCTCACAACGAGCAGCCCGCCGACCTGGCGCAGACCTGCCTCCTCGGCGAGAGCTTCAGTGACGCGCAGATCCCGGACGGAGCCGACCTGCGCAGGACCGTCGAGACACTGCTCAGAAACGGGAACGACAAGGCCTCCGTGATCCACTCGACGGAGGCGGTGCGAGCTGGCAGCATCGCAGGCGACGCTCGCCGCCGCCCGCAGCGATTGGCGACGGCGGGGGGGCGCGGGCGAGTTACAGGCGCCCTTGCAGACCTGGCTCACGACTGGCACGGGGCCCTCGCATGAGGAGGCGAAGGGCGGGGGGGCCGGACGGCGGAGGAACGAGGGGGGGCGGCGGCAGAGGATGAGGAGACGAGGTCAAAACCCCGATGAAATTCAGACCTGAATTCAGATCTGAATGCTCACATCGAGGAAACCATACCCACACACACACATATATATATATATGGATACTAGAACCATCGCGCGCGCTTCGCTCAAGTTCTAGCTAGGATAATCGCCATCGTCATCGTCACCATCCTCATCACCATCATATCCGGCGTCATCGTCAGCGACATCGTCATCATCACCATGACCATCACCATCATCACAATCGTCACCATCACCACCATCAGCAGCAACATCGTCATCACCATCGTCATCATCGCCATCGTCGTCATCATCGTCAATATCGCCACCTGAATTATCAACATAATCATCCTCATCATCGCCATCGTCATCATTATCGTCGTCGTCGTGATCGTCGTCATCGTTATCGTCATCTTCATCGTCATCATCTTCATCATCCGCCCACTCCTGCATCACAAGCACCATAAACAGCATCGCCACCATTACTATCAGCATCGGCGTTATCATCCTGACCATCAGCAACATCATCATAATGATCGTCAACATCACAATCCTCAACGGCATCACCGTCATCGCCATCATGATCGTCAGCATCACCACCATCATCATCATCACCATCACTCACATCACGATCACCATCATCAACATCATCATCAGCAGCATCATCATTCCCACTGTCAACATCATCATCATAATCTTCTTCCTCAGCATCATCACCATCGTCGTCGTCAACTTCGTAATAGTCGTCATCATCGTCATCATTTTCGTCACCGTCGTCTCCGAAGCTCCCCCGCCGAACTCGAGGATATTTCCGCAGCGTCTTGCATGCCGCGTGAGCAGTATTGGGGATTGAGCTTGTGGACCTGAGGCCGCCCTGCATAATCATCATTGTCATTATCACCAGCGTCTGGAAGCCTTGCGGGGCCCTTTCGGCGCCTTTTGAAGGCCTCTTGGAGCTTCCTGGGGGCCTCTCGAGGCCTCTTGCGGACTCCTGGGGGCCTCTTGGGAGCTTCTGGTGGGCGAGGGCTCGAAATGTCAGTTCGTGTTCCCCATCTGGGGCTCCTCTTGGAGTGTTCTGGGAGCTCTTTTGGGCCGTCTTGGAAGCTTCCTGGGCCGTCTTGGGGCCCTCTTGGGCTGTCTCGGTGGTCTCTTAGGGGCCTCTGGGCTCGTCTTGAGGCGATCTTTCGGGCCTCTTGGGCCGCCTTGGAGCGTCTGGAAGCCGAACTGGGGAGAACGCCAAAACCCTTCAAAACCAACTAAAAATCAATGACAATTTCCTATTGGGTCCCTCCTGGGAGTGCTGTCGGAGACCTGCTGGGACGCTTTGGCAGCTTTTTAACAGTCTTGGAGTGCTCCCTGGCCGCTTCGGACCTCTCTTGGGCTGTCCTGAGGGCGTCCTGGAGCCATTTTAGAGGGTCCTGGGAGCGTCCTGGCGTCTCCGGCGGGGGGGTGACCACAGCCATTGGGCAAAGCGAGGCCCCCACCTGGTCCAGGACCCCCTCCCCATTTTTTAAATTACCTAACAGCGTAGACTGATAGGTTTCTAGTAGGATCAAAAGAGGGCAGCAGCTTACTCCAAAGGGGGGTCTGGGCGGATGTCGGCGAGCTGCCGGGCGGACGCCGGGCGGACGAACCGGGATTGTTTTTCGCCAACAATCACACACTTCGTGCTCTTCGACCTCCCAAAACTCCATTCCCCGGCCACATTTTGAATTACCGGACGCAACAGTCACACACTTCGTGCTCTTCGACTTCCCAGAACACCGCTCCCGGGCCACATGTTCAATGCCCGGAGCCAACTGTAGGCCACTTCGTGCTCTTCGGCTTCCCAGAACGCCATTCCCGGGCCACATTCGGAATGCCCACTGAGATGAACGGCGGATTATATCTTGGATATAAGTTGAGGACGCCTGTTAGTAACTAAGTTATAACTAAGTTATAACTAAGTTATAACTAAGTTATAACTAAGTTATAACTAAGTTATAAATTGGCGCGTTTAATAGTGACTGACAGCGTCTGAGTTATAAGTCAACCTCTAATACCTTATTAGAGCTCGCTGAGTTAGTAAAAGTCAACAGACTTAGGAGGTTGAATTATAAGTCGGGTTATAACCAAGTTAGGTGACTTATACTTAACTCAATTAGCCCTGAACTCTTCGACTTAGTAATTGAGTTATAATCAAGTTATAAGTCGACTTAGCTAAGTCGACCTAACTCGACTTACTAAGTCGACCTAAGTCGAGTTAGCTAAGTCGAACGTTCGAGTTACTAAGTCAACGTAGTTCGACTTACTAAGTCGAATTGTTTCGACTTATAAGTCGACGATTTCAACTTATGTTTAATCGTTTAACATGATTTTGTAAAACGATTAAGAACGGTTTTTAACATGTTTGCGGCACCTGGCCATCCACAACACCAACGAATATGTTGAGAACTTGTGATCCTGATTTTCCTCTGGTAACAAAAGGGTGTTTGTTCTGGATCCACCAACGACAACATAATTTTGAAAGAATGGTGCTCTGGCTTTTGTCTGGTAACATGTACATTGACAGTCAAGACCCTAGAACTCTCATCAAAATGCAAGGCGGCTCGGCTCGTAACTTATATTTTTTATGTTCAAAAAATATGGACGATGTGTGAAATGCCAATATCTACATCGTAAGCGTACGTCGTAATCGTATCTAGCGCGCGTTACGCTCTCCACCTTGCGCCTGGTTGCGGGCGCGGTTGCGGTTGCGGCGGCGTCCTTCAGCACGCGCTTCGCCATCTGGCGGGCGACGGGCACGGGGGGGGGGGAGGGAGGAGGGGAAGGAGGGGGGACGGGGGGGGGGGGAGGGAGGGGGGGGGAGGAGGAGGAACAGGAGGAGGTACTATGTGTATTTATGTACTATATATATTTGTACCATGGGCATACCGTATAATATGTATGTGCATTATAGATGCATATGTTGGGGGGAAGATCAATGGATGCAAGGGGAAGAGGACGGGGCGGTGCACGGGGGCGCGAAGATAATCGCATCTCTCGGGTCGCGGCCTGGGCTGGAGAGCCGCCCTTGTCCAAGGCGGCCCCGCGTCGGGGGGGGGGAGGGGCTCCTCCTCCTCCTCCTCCTGCCCCCATCGCCCTCCTCCTCCCCCCCCCCCCCTCCTCCCTCCTCGAAGACGACGACTACGGCGACGACGAAGATGGGGAAGGGGAGTGGAGGATGATGCAATGCATGATGAGGAAGAATGAACGACGGAGGAAGAGAAGGGGGCGGCTTCGACAGTCGACTTTTTTTGTTCGACAGTCGATTTGTGTTTGTTTTTTTTCGACAATCGATTTTTGTTTATTATTTTTTCAGCTACGCGCCCCTGCCATGATAGTAAGGCACGATGATCTTCACGGTCGATGGTGGAATGCGCATGTATACAACGGGCTTGACAATCGACGTCGGGTCCAAGACCACGTCTGGCGTCGCCGATTCATCCCAGATGGTCCAAGTCCCAGGGTCCACAGCGGCAGCCTCCCGCACGTGGACTGCGATGAAATCGCCCATCGCATAGAACAACACAACTCTACCTAAACGAAGTGCACCGCCAGTGCGGATGAGCACGTAGTCGCCCCTCTTCACGCCACCACACTTCAACGCAGCCGCTGTAGACGTATCCACCTGGATGCCTGCGATATCGAGTTTACGGCGCTTCGACGTCGATATATACTGCTCGTCGAACTGGAACCGCCCCTCGACAACGTCTTGAACGTAACAGTTTAAATATCCAAACGGTCGTGTGCTCGACCTGGTTGTAAACGTGCACCACGGTCGTCTTCACGTCTTTGTGTTTCCGTTCTGGCGCAAAGCACGAAATCACCCTACCCAGTCGAAGTAGGTCGTCGGGCACGTGCACCAAATGATGAAACTTCACCTTGATAAACGTATGGTACAATCGGCGAAACAGTACCGCGTGCTCTGCAATGGCCCCCGAAAGCGTGGCGTGCAATGCGCCCGTCATATCGTCCTCTCCTGATAGGAGCCCCAACATGAACGTTAACAGCTCGAAACATCGAACGTGGTCCGCGGGCACGCGGCCAGAGCACCTGTCCCGAAGAAATGCCAGCAACAATGGGCAAAGTCCGAGAACGTCGCTCGCAAACAGCTTCACGTGGTCGTTCGCTATGAAGTTCTCCGTGAACCACTCTGGCTTGGGGGGTGACGCGGTCAACTTGGGATGGATGTACAAGCGCGCGTAGGCGGCAATCTCATGCATATCGATATTCAACCTCTTCAAACACGATGTGAGCGCCGCAATCTGAAGCCCCGCAACGCCATGCGATACCAGGGTGTGCTGCCAATCCCTGATGTAATTACTCACGGGGCGCAGCACGCTTCTCAAACGAGGATCGCACAACATCCCATGTTCATTATAACTAATGCCCAGCTTCGTTTCGGGCGCCTCCACCTTCGACATCGATATCTGCCCGACCTGCGATACCAAGATCTCGTGCATTCTCCAGAACGTGTCGTCGTCCAGCTGCTTGAGCTTCGATTTATCTATGCAGTCCAGTCCGACGGTGTACTGGCCGTCGGCGTAGCCAGTCTTGTGGATGAAGTTCACCACGTTCATGCACGAGATGCAGGGTTTCAGCCCTGCCGCCCCTTTAATGGCCAAAAACTCTTTGTGGCCTTTTTTTTCATCAGCCATAAAACCGACCAGGCGAGCACGAAACACCCGCACGGCACTCCCATGGGGAACTACAAAGCCGTGTGTGAAGTTATGAGGCCCGTCAACGAACATGGCGACGATAATATGCTTCAAGAGGGCGCTCACTCCCCCAGGAATTCTCTCCACCAGCCTGGTGCGAAGCCCGCCCAGGCAAAACCAGCCCCCCGTTCTATGGAGGAGCCAGCCTGGTAGCTCCAGAAAGGTGTAATAAAAATTCCACAATTGGCGCCCAACATCAGATCTCAAAGGGTTGCCTGGCGTCATCTCGTCACCGTAAAACACCAAGCTACAAGTACACAAAGGTGCCTCGTCGAGCGCAGCAGACAGCATATTGGCAAACTTTTCGCTGATAGTCGACATATAGTGCAGAAACGCAAATGGGTGTACATATTCCCACGGCCCGATGCCTGGGACATCCAGTGTCTGCACAACAGGTCCGTATGGCGTCCTCGCGCGGCCATGCATCTCCGCTGCTATCCTGCACTGGCGTAGCTCATCTCGTCCTCCGAGCTCCTCGTCCCTAAGCATGCCTTTCCTATTCAGCGTCTGCAGGATGCGGGCGACGCTCGCCTTCGAACCCCGCGAAGTGGCCAGAAGCTCCGACCGCAGCTGCATCCTCGTCTCATCATCGATGTCGATCGTGGCGGGTGCGCCCCGCTTCATGTTCGCAACGCTGAACCTGAAACGGCTGTGGAAGAATGGCGACGGCTGCGATGATACTAGAGACTGCGCGTGAGAATGCTTATATGCATGGTGAATGCAAGACGTTGTTGTGGAAATATTTATATTTGTATGTAGATGCATGTATGTATGTATGCGTGTACGCATGTATGCATGCATGTGTATATGTATGTATGTGTATATGCATATATGTATGCATGCATGCGCGTTTGTATATCTATACATGTATGTATATGTACACGTGCCGACATCGATGCACATCCCTCGCGCGCGCAGCGGTGCGCGTTTTCGGAAGGAGGGCGAACCGTTGTCGCACTCTGATGCACCTTGGCAAGCTACCTTCGGCATGCCGCAACACAAACTTGCACAGGCGCAGAGAATGATGGCAGACACAGGGCCGCAAGTGAAGTCCCGCATTCACGCCACTCGAAGCGGCTGACGGGTCGCGATGGGAGGGGACGGGGCCTGCTTATTCGAGCGGGAAGGGGGGGGTCCGAGGCGATGCCGTCTGTCGGCAAACGCCCCCATGGTAGCTCCAGAAAGGTTTAACACAATTCCACAGCATGCGCCCAGCATCAGATCTCGAACGTCGACATTTGATTTACGATTTCGATGTGATGGTACTTTCGCAAAGCAGATCACACACATCGTGTGTATTTGTGTCGCTCTGAGGCGGCTTGCAAAACTGGCGCACAACACTCGACACACCTGCACATCACTTCCATTGGGCACTATATTATACAAAGCCGCGTGTGAAAATCTGAGGCCCGTCAACATGGCGACGAGAATATGCTTCAAGAGGGCGCTCAGTCCGAGTCCTCCTCAGCCGCTGCCTGCACAGCCGCTGCCGCGCGCCTCGAGGCCCGATGCTGGTCTCGCGTCAGCGCGTCGTCGCTGGCGGGTCCATCGCACCCGGCGTCTTCGTCACCGTCTCCACCTTCACCACCTCCACTGTCCTCCTCTTCCTCATCCTCATAGTCGTCCTGGAACATACCGCTATCGCTGTCCTCGCCCTTCTCCTCGGAGGGCGAGGTGAACCCCGACCCCTGTTCGATGCATATCTTTCGCTCCAAGCGCCGAACTTTGCTCCGAATCTCCCCGATGCGATTCATGGTCTCCACGTGGCGAGCCATCACGAGAGCCTCCAGCGCCTCGATTCTGGCCAACACCTCCCCGAGCCCTCCCCCCTTTCCCCTGCCCTCCCCCCTACCCCTCTTCTCCCTCTTCCCTCCTCTCCTCCCTCTTCCACCCTCATCCCTCTACCAACCTCCCAGCCCCTCCTCGCGTATGGGATCAGCCGAGGCACTCGCCATGCCCCCCCCGCGGCGCGGGGGCCTGCACTTCTGCTAGACGTAGTGCGTCAAGCCTTTGAACTGGAGTCAGCTCTCCGCCCGGGCCTAAAGCAACGGATATCGATGTCGATGTTTCTATCGAGTTCGATGTCTCTACTGGCGTCGATGTCGATGCTTTTATCGATATCGATTTCTTGCATCACAAAACCCCCATCTCAATGCTGGCCGATGGGCTTTCCGACGGACGGAGCTCGACCGCGGGGCGCGCAGGCAAACCGGCCATAGGAGATATATCTTTGCCTCGGGGGTCCTCCATCCTCATTCCTCCATCCTCCATCTCCCCCTCCACTCTCAATCACCCATCCCCCTCCTCCTTCATGGTGATGGTGGCGATGATGATGATGGCGATGATGCTGCAGATGGTGATGAAGAAGATGATGATGATGGCGATGATGGCGATAATGATATTGTGTTTTGTTCAAAGCGCGTGCCATACATCCCCAGCACATTCGTTTATCGTGGGCGTCGATGTCGATGTGCGCGGTTACCCACGCCACCTCGGTATCGCTGGCATCAAACCACACCGCCCATCATATTGAAAGACACACTCCGTCGTCGATATCGATTGCGCCGTCAGTGGCGTGCTGATCGCACTACATGCGAGATTGCACCTACAAAAAGAAACGCCTCATGCCTTTGCGCTTATGCATTGGCTTAGCTGGAGGCATGCCCTGCAAATCCAAAGCGCACAACAAGGCGCTGCACTTCTTGATGTCGAGCTTCATTCCGAGATCATCCTCATCCCGCTGGTGGTTTTTCAGCATGACCATATAGTGCACACGGCTACAATAGAAGCACACGTCGTCCTTCCCATCATCGTCCTTCTTGCACTTGCACCCCGCCTTCACGTAGCGCCTCAAGAAGTGGTTCCTCAGCTTCTTGCGGTGCCAGAGCGTGCCCCAATACTGCGGGTATAAGATGCCGTCCTCGTCAGCCCGCTGCTTGATCTGCACCAACTTCCACGGCGTGGGCCCCTCCAGGTACGGCGCCATCTTGACGGCCTTCATCGGGTGGAACTGCACCTTCTTTGCCATGTCGCCCGCGGGCTTGGCGGGCTTGTTTTTCTTCAGCGCTGGCTGGAGGCCGAGCTCGTCATCGCTCAAGTCCATGCTCGGGCTGAGCGTGAAGCTCGGTGGAGTGGGCGCTCCCCGCATGACCTCGTCCCTCGGCGGGAACGGCGCCACATTCTCCAGGCCTGTCGGGAGCGGAAACCGCAGGTGCGGAGCCGTCTCCGTCTGCGCTGCATAATTGGCGAAGGACATCGACACTAACTGCAAGGATCGACCGGCGATTGCGAGTCTACGTGGGCTTCGATCGTCGACGTACAACTGCAACGAGCCAAAATGGCTGGGGAGGCCGCGCTAGACGATACAGGGGGCGGCCTCGGAGCAGAGTGAGAATAAGATCGTAAAGTAAGATGGTATACCATGATAGTAGAGCACGCCACGATGTACGATAATCGAATACCTTTATGAGCTCGTCTCATCTTCGGCTCCAGGCTTCCTATATCTACTCTCTACTATCTTACTCTCACCCTACAGTCGTTTACTGTGTTACTGCGGAGGAGAGAGAGGGAGAGAGGACAATAACACAATGGATTTGTTCGGTTCACATTGAGGCAATCAGAAGGGCGCCACTCCCAATGACGCGCTGCGTGCAGACGCCTATGGCGATATCGATCTGAGTCCGCGTTGCCCGACGTCGATGGCTGGGTAACGTCCCCGCGGCACATGCGAACCTGACCGTCTGCGCACTGAACGAAAAGATAACACACGATGCAACTGCACATGCAAACGCTGTTGCCCTACACCAGCGTACAACAATGCTCAGCTGAGCGGGGTCGCGCTCCAATCGTGACTTCACTACGACGAGCGCCACTCCGTAAACTTCGATATCGATATATCTGCGAACAAAACGATTGTATCGGCGTGCCCTGCAGGGAGCGCTATGCCCAGCGTAGCGCACCACCTTAATTCGGAACTCGGAGCGCTGCTGCACCGCCTACCAGTTCCCCTTGTCACCGTCGATCCACTCGACCACAGCCTTCCACGCCTTCTTCTCGTCGCCGCCGTACGCGCCCCAAGCCCCCCAACTGAACATCTTGTCCCAGACAACGCCCACCTTCTTGACCCGCCACTTGGAGTTCTTCTCGTCCGTATAGATGGCATAATCCTTGTAATAGATGGGGGGCTGCTTCTTGAGCGCGGGTAGCGGGGGCGCCTTGGTCGACGTCGATGTTGGGCAGGCCTTGGCCTTGGCCTTGGCCTTGGCCTTGCCTTTGGCCTTGGCCTTAGCTTTGGCCTTGCCCTTGCCTCTCGTCGTCTCGGTCTCCTCCAACATCTTCTTGATGTACTCGTCGATCTCCTCCTGCCGTACCGCGGGCCCCCCGCTGGCAGCGGCGGGCTTCTTCATAGCTGGATGCTGCTCCTCATCGTCTTCGTCGCCATCGACTTCGGCGAGCGCGCGCTTCCTCGAAGCTTGGAGCGGCGGCGTCCCCGAGCCAGGATCGGGCACGGCGCCCTTTGGGGCGGGCGTCGTCGGCGGCTCGAGGGACCCTGCTGATGAGGTCCTCCGCAAGCCCGATGGGGGCTCATTCAAGAAGGTCAGCGGGATGTCGCCCTGCCGCGGACCCCCTTCCTGCCGATGTGGTGCCCATGAGCTGGCCGAACATGTTAACCATCGTGCTCATCTGCTGCATGAATGCGTCCTGGTGCCTGCTGTTCGGGTTCGGGCGCTCGAACGGGGCCATGCTGCTGCTGCCCCCCGAGGGGTGCTCATGTATTCCGTTCGTTTTGCGGGCTTTCGTGATCTGCCCTGCTTGCAGGAGCAGGGCCTCGCTAAACTGAGGCTTGGGGAGCACGGAAGCCCCGAACACCTGCGGCTCGATCTCGACGAATTGCGACACGAGGAGGGGGTAGTTGCAGACAGACGATTGCGCCGAGCGCCTCGATGCACGTTTCTTCTTGATCTGCTCCTCTGGGCAGCACGCGACCCCCGTCGGGCGCCCAGCCTCGAGCATGTAGCCCCGTGGGGTGCCCTAGGGGGGGCGGGGTCGTCTGGTTGAGGCCCCTGGATCGCCAACAAATTCAACAAAAGGCGGGGCAACATCTTGAAAAAAGCTGGGTGAAAACCTTGGCCCGAAACATGAGATGGCGATGTGGGCGGAGAGGGAGGGGGCAGTGGGGATGGGGAGAGAACGAGAGTGTGGGTGATAGTGGTTACTCGATGTCGACACGTTCGGGGCCTCTCAATATCGACGTCGCCTCGTCCTCCTCCTCACCCACCTTCTCCCCATGATCCTGCCCATATAACCCCCGACCCCGATGCTGAGACCTGGGCGCTCGATGCGGGGGTCGCGCATTCGACGTCGAGTGCATGCGATGTCGATGTCGAGTCCTTGAGCTGGTTCTTGTACTCGAACGCCTGCGCGGGCGCAGGCTCCCGACCCGCGGCGATCTCGCTCGCGACCACGAGGGCGGCCAAGCGAGGCACCGTCTTCTGGTCGGGGTAGTGCAGGCCGAGGGTGTGCACGAAGTACTCGCCAACCTTATCGAGCTTCGCCTCGACCCCCAGGTGGGGGTCCTGTAGCAGCGCCCACATCTCCGTCGTCAGGTAGTGCTCTGGGTACTG